ATTCGACCTTGCTAGCCGAACGCGCCTCTGTGGCCAAATCGGTAAAGGCACGTCAAGCTTTTTTTATTATTGACTTCCTCATCACTAGGTCAAAGCTTGTTAAAATTTTAAAGCAAATCCCAAACCTTGTTATAATTTACAAGCAGATCTTTTTGTTAAAATGCCAAACGAGATCCATAACTTTTTTAAAATCTATAAGTAGATTCAAAACTTTGTTAAAATCTAAAAGTAGGTCTCAAAACTTGTTAAACTCTACAAGTAGATGCAGGAATTTGTTAAAATCTACAAGTAAAAACTTTCTTAAAATATGCAAATAGATCTCAAACTCTGTTAAAATCTAAAAGTAGATCTCAGACCTTGTTAAAATCTGCAAAAAATTCAAAACCGTTGTGGCACCATGCATCCGGACGATTTGAAAGAAATATTTATAGATATATGATTTGCTTTTTTACGGTTTATCAACCATTTGATAATTATTTAAGGCCGAAAAATATTTTAGGTTTTAAGAATAATTCTTTCTTTGCATTCAAGCGATTTGGGAGAAAGAAAGAGAAAACGAAGAAGAAAGAAAGAAAAAGTAATACGAAAACGGGTCATAGGCGAACACACACACACACACACACACGGCTTAAGAGACGGAAAGGAGGAGGAAAAAGGTTATAGTTGATAGGTATCAGATGTCGAAAATATCTAGGTCACCTACAAACAAGCGTTGACCGATTTCCGCTTGTCCACGAAAAATGGAATTTTGTTATCAATTAGATGTCACCCAAAAGAAGAAATCCATTGTTGAACATTGACGAAACACAGACAGTCTTCCCTGTTTTAAAAAAATCCCACACAAGAAGTTTTCACTGGCTAAATTTTTCTTTCTTTTGACAGAATAAACGTTTGCTCTGTGATAATAAAGATTTTTGTTATCAACCCTTGGGCCGAAAGGAAAATGAAATGTTTTTATTTTTGTTTTAGAGACGCCAGAGAGGCTAGGAAAATTTCTTTCTTAGATCATGTCCAATTAGCGATAAACTGCTTGACGAACGCCACGTGTTAAAGCCGAGAGTGTCACATCGGCCGCTCATGATAAGGGCGATTTAATTAAAATTTTTTTTTAGTTAAGCAAGGTATTTCTTTCCCAAAACAAAGCCACGGGTTGATCACGCCCGACTAAGACGCCATTGGCCAAGTAGATCACATGACGCACGAAGGAGGAGGGAAGATACCCGACTAAGACGTCATTGGCCAAGTGGATCACATGACGCACGAAGGAGGAGGAAAGATAACGACCAGGACCTCATTGGCCGAGAGCGGTCACGTGACGCACGAAGAAAATCAGTCGACGCCTCTATCAGAGTGTAAGTGGGAGAAGCCGATACGAAGAAGTGGGGAAGTTAGTGCACGCCCCTCAGAAGCACAGTAAGAGAGTGGGAGTGAGAAAAGAGTTACCAAAAATAGAAAAGAGTGGAAAATCCCTAACCAGAAATAAGAAGGGTAGATACGTATTTAGAATTATCGAAGAACCCCCGACGCCAAACAGACCCACCCCAGTTTTGACGGCGTCAATAAAAACGAAGCCCCACCAGACAGAAATCAGTGCAGCCGCAGACGGCGGGCCGAGTTCGTTCGCCCCCTAGCGGGTAGAAGAGGCCAGTTCGTTTGGCCTGAGGAAGAAGTTCGTTTGACCCAAGCTGGCGAGAAGAAGTTAGTTCGCGCACCGGCGGCAGAGATGAGTGCCCAGTAACTCAGACTCTGGAGAGTTTGAGTTCAGCCGCGGACCCTGGCGAGAAGTTTTGAGCTCCGGACGACAAGCAGAGATGAGTGCCCAGTTTTGAAACCACATCAAGATAGCTGACCAAGATTCACGCACACTTTTGGCCTCTTCTTCAACCAAGAACAAGTAGTTTGAAGAGCGACTTAGGACCAGACCACAGAAATAAGTTTTTCGACTTTCGCCCAAAGACACACCGAAACACAAATTTCTTAGAGAGTAGACAACTTGAAGCGTTAGAATTTGCCTAGCGAAAGCGTCGTGCCACAATCCACAGAACGGGTCGGGAAGTAGACATAGTCCTATGTACCGAACAAATAGACATAAAAAGTTTGTTACCTTTTTCTTTGATACCTTGAACTTTGTGAGTTTTCATTTTATTTTCTTTTATACATATTTGTGTGTTATCACCCCCGTTGAACTCAGCTTGCATTACGGCCCCAACCCCTGTTGATCTCGTCTGTCTAAGATCAATTCACAACGTGGGTAGGCAGACTGGAGATCAGTGCAGTTACCATGGTAACCAGGCGTTGGAAGCAGGTTGGGAACGGCGAGGCTGGTATCAATCTAACCAGATTCCTACCCGAATCACCAAAGGGTTAGAACGTCACGTTGGAGCAGCGACACCCGGACGGAGCAGCGAGGAGCGAACAGCTGACGCCGCGGCGAAGACGTCACAATTGGTGCTGTTTAGGGACGTCACAACTGTGGTAGATCAGGATAGAACGTCACAGTCGGCGCTGCGACCGGGGGACGACGTCACACCGTCTTAAAGTCTACAAGTAGGTCTCAAACCATGTTAAAATCTACAAAAAGATTTAAAACTTTCTTAAAGTAAGCAGATCCCAAATATTGTTAAAATCTATAAACTAAACAAGCTCAATGGCCATCTAGATTAACTTTTTAACTTTCCTCCAGGTAAGTAATTTTTCCTTACAATGAGTCGTATATTTTATAAAGCAAGCTAGTAATACAAATTTAAAAATAAAGACGAATACCCCGTTACCACTGTATTACCATGTTCCGAAACAAGCGTAGCTTACCATTTACTTTTTATCCAGTCGTCTTGATTAAAAGCTTTTCTTCTTTAACCTTCAGGAATTCGTTGGTTAACAAAGATATAATTCCCAGAACATCTGTACTCACCCAGACCATTGCTAACAGTATAGGTTCAATCCTTATTGCTTACTCTGCTCTTAGCTATTTTAATCTGTTATTGTACTTCATTTAAACGAGAAAAATTCTTAACCCATCTACATTATTTTCAGCTGATATTAATCATTGCTTCTTTACACGTATACCGAAGAGTTTAAGCAGTTCTCAAACAGTTTATAGTCTGTTGATATATAGCAAATCTACAGACATTTGACGCAAGCACGCCTAACTGTCGACATAATTCAGTACGAGAGGTTTGAAGGGAGAAAAATCGAGAAAAAAATGCTAACCAGACGAATAGGATTTCTCGATCGTGTCGGTTTTAATGGAATTTTCTTTTCTCATGAAAAAAAACTCAAAGCCAATAACAAGAAAATTGGATGGAGTACTAAAGATAAAGATGGCAAACATTTTGACGTCACGGAAAGAGATTCTAAAAAGATATCGAGATTCTAATTATCACAATCCTGTCCCTATTTCAGACATTGAATTTTAAATTCTGAATATAAAACTTGATGAAGTTTTTTTTTTTTTTTTTTTTTTTTTTTTAAAAAAAAGTGAAAAATAAGTAAATCTGTCATTTTTTTCTGAAAATAATACCCCGGTAAAAAAAAAAAAAAAAATCTTAGAGAAATTTATCAAAGGTACCAGAGTGAAAGCTCACTGGAACAGATTCAGTTCCTTGGAACCACTCCCTGATTGATCATGTCTTCAGGGGTGTAGCCGTACTTACCACGCTTGACCAATTGTGGGATGGTGAGGTTATTTAAGCCATAGATGAGGATTTTGAATTCACACTTGTCCTTCTCCTTGATTGCAATCTGTTCTACAATTTACTCATAGCTAGTGGTGTGGGGGAGGAGAAGAGATGAATTCATCTCTTTTCCAAAAGTATTTGTGCGTAAGTGAATATAATGAGCTTGGCTGGAATTCGAACTCGGCTCTCCGTTTCTTCAAACCGATATCCATTAATCCAGCGTACCTCCATTTATCAGCATAATTGAAAATTGCAATAAAGTATTGCTTTTTTAAAACTTTACTTTAGAGTGGAGAGTTTAAGCAGTGCTTTAAGAAGTTGATATTCCGTTGAGTTTCAGCCAATTTAATGTTAAGGCAAGCCATCGTCCATAATTCAATTCAACTAGACAGACTATGAATGAAAAGAAAAAAGATTTCTAGCTCACGTCGTTCTTAATAAAATAAAAGAATTTTTCTTTGTTCACAAAATCCAATTCATTTTACGTTTACACGTATTACAGTTACTGCATTTTACATAATTTATTCAAGAAATAAAAGGTTTTTATCTCTTTTTTTATGTCCTGATAGACAAACTGCTTCCAAGACTGCTAACATCATTCGCCACATTTATTTGTTTCCTTGATCGCTTTAGTTTAGTGTTTCTCAGACTTTTTGGGTGTGACCCGGAACACAATTTTATTTTGGTTAACCGATTTTCAGTGTAGAGACATTTTAGCATTTCTTTTCTTCATATATTTTTGTCCAATCACTTTAACTGAATTTTACTTTAAAATCAATAAATCTCTATATTCTTTATTTTGATGAAAGAAAATAAAAGGCCAGAATCCATTTAAATGTATCATGTTGCTATGAATAATCAAGAGTGGTCTCCCTTTGTTTTGTTACTCTCCTCTTTGAGAGAGCTATTTCTGTTTACTGGGACTATAAAATGATACTATACGTGAACCTTGTATTCTCGGTTGAATAAAGCTTTCTTAAAGCCTACACCTGAGTACTTTTGGCATTACACATGTATCACAGCACGTACGAAACAGCAGTTAAATCTATTAATTTGTTTTTTTTATAGCTTATCAACACTTTGCAGGCTATTTAAAGCCAGAAAATATTTTTGGATTGTAAGAATGTTTTGGAGATAGTAATAATTTACTGATCCAAGTTGTATTAATTAACTCGTAGCTGGAGGTGGGGAGTGGTGCATTCATGCCTTTCCCAGTGACATTTGCTCATAAATAAATATAACGAACCCGACTGGAATTGTTACTCTGCTCACTGATTTCCAATTCCGAGCCGTTGTTTATTCACATCATTCACACACTCAAGCTTATAGCACTTGGCATTCCCAAGCGGTTACCCATCTAGGTACTGACCAGGCTCGACGTTGCTTAACTTCGGTGACTGAAAGAGAACCGTTGTTTCAACAGGACATGGCCGTAACCTTGGACATTTCAAAAGCAGACAACATTTACGGTATTCAGAAGTAATGTAAACAGTGAGCGTATGTGTTTAAAATACAGTGTAACCCGGATGTAAGAGAGTTGTCGGGACCGGAGAAGAAGTCTCTCATATCCGGGTTTCTCTTATATCCGGGTTTGGTCTATTTTATATGCATTAACACAGGCTCTAATTTGGGACCAGAGAAAATCTCTCTTATATCCGGGTTTCTCTTATATCCGGGTTACACTGTATTTAGAAAACGACAACGAAGCCCAACTCAGACATCTTGCATTTTTGGTAAGAAATATTTAAAGCATTTGTCAGAAGTTAGTTTGATGCAAATGACTTATTTGTTGTAAGAACAGTTAAGCTGTAATATTTTCCATAAGAGAGTTGCCATTGCTTTGCTTTTTTTCTACTTGTGTCTGTCTTATTAAATCTATGTAAGTCAACGCAATGAACATTTTAAACTTACCCCAATATATTTTGTAATAAGAGGAAAAGTAATTACTGAACTGTTCACATTTATATTAGATTAGAAATAAAACGAGAAGGGATTCAGCTTCTGATCTAAGTTCAATTAGTACAAAACTGAATGAAAAAGAAATCGTATAAATGATTTACTTTTAAGAAAAATGGAAAAAGCAGTCAGAAAGAAATGTGACACAAAGACCAAAAGGAAGTTTTGAAGAAGCAGGAAGTGTCGATTTTCACGCTATCTAAAATGATCGTTTCGTTGATGTATGTAATTACACAACGTTATTTTTTTTAAGTATAACAGTTATTTTATACTGAATACCAGACTCATATTGCAGTCATCTTAATACAGTACTAGGCTACAAGACTAGCTTGCTAAGCACTGATGCATAACAAATGACCGAGCGAAGGTTAACTATAAAAAAATGTCTACACGGTGTGCACATCCATATAAAAAAGTTTCATAGGTTTTAAACATGGACCTAAATCATTATAGACGTAAAATGTTGCTCCTACATGATTTAGATACATTGGTTAAAGATGTAATGGATGTAATTCAACATTTTCAATGGGAGATCTTGAATTTATATTAATTTCTTTTACTGTTGGTAAGAAATGCGCTCAAAAAATCCTTCATAGATTTATTCATACTTTGCCAATGGTATATGCAATTAATTAACTTTATAGTTGATACCAGAATAAGAATGAATGAAGGCTATCAAAAATCAATTTACAAAAAGTTTTCGTAACAAAAAATCTACATTGATACATTACATAACATCTTAGAATTATCACACGGCTTTTTAAGATTTGCCAAAGATGTGATTTATTCATCGTGTAGGCTGTTCCTTGATGATTTCTAGTAAAACACGGAAGCCAGTCGGAATATACAGGGTTATTAAAAAAGAATGAACCGATTTTATTACGTAATATTTTAATAAGGGAAAGCGATAGAAAACTCCAACCAGGTTACAAGTATTCTACTTACAATCAGGTTTTATGTCCTGTTTTACAAGTGTACAATATGGCCACCACCTGCAGCACGGGCACATCAATGCGATATGAGAATTACCCCCCCCTCCCCCAAACGCGTATCAGCATATTATGATCCACTGAGTTGATCGCTGTTGTTATTCAATGTTTAAGGTCAACGAGGTTAGTGGGTAGCGGTGGAACATAAACACAATCTTTTACGTATACCCACAAGAAAAAAATGACACTCAGTAAGGGAATTTCGCAGGTCAAGCACAAAGAGCAAGGTCTTGGTAAGTTCTTGAACGAGCGTAGTCTGTAAGGTTTCAAATGTAGACCTCTTCTTAACACACGCCAGATAGTAGATTGAGAGATCACAAGCACACGGCTAGCTCGATTTGGGGGACTTCTGTGGACTCCCCCCTCAAACGCAGCACGAATTCTCGTTACTCATTCCTCTGAAACTCGTCGTCGTCCTGGACCTTTTTCTTTTCACAGACACCCACTCACTTGAAACTGTTTAAACCACCGTCGAATGTTCTTAGAAGAGGGCAGATTAATGTCGAATTGCCTTCAAAAAGCATGCTGCACCGTGAAATTCGTATTTGTTTTCGCGAACTCGAAAACGCAGAACGCCTTTTGCTGAGAAATCACCATTCCGGGGGTAAACAAACAAGTAAACGTTGCTGGAGATACGATGCGACTACATCGCTCCTGTGGCATCCATTCAAAAGTTAGAAAACTCCTTTTTTATATGATCACCGACTCATTTCATGACGATGCTTGAAAACTGAAGCAATGTGTCATGAAATCAATTCATTCTATTTGAATAACACTATATATATATATATATATATATATATATATATATATATATATATATATATATATATATATATCACTATTTCCACAGAAAGTATTCATTTCCTTAGTTCCACCAGTTCTAACCTTCATGGCTAAGACTCACCATGCCAAACACATTGTGGTGAAATTACTCTTGTTCCCTTTGTATTCCATTGGTGAGATCTAAATTCCACTTGAGCAGTTTCTTCTCATGAGCCACTGCTTTGTGGAACCAACTCCAAATATGATGTTTCCCAAATCACTACAATCTTAACCTGTTCAAGTCTAGAGTTAACTGTTATCATCCCCACATATCCTCATAAACTGTGTGCCTTATTCTGTGAACCTCTTAGGCCTTGTACAGAACATCATTGTAAAAGAAAAAAATTCCCGTAATGTGTCGTCACCAACAGTATGATCACTCATAAAAAATAAACAGGCAGATCCCCAAAAGTGAAGACTTTGTTACCACCATAAACACATGAAATCGGTTCATTAATTTTGAATAACCCTGTACTATACTCGTATTGTTTTGTATACGTGATATATCATAAATGTATTCAGCAAATATTGATGAGTGCCATTTCTGACGATACGTCGCAAAGCAGTCAGTAAAATCATATGGTGACCTTCGATAAGCTAACTAAATGAAACATTGATAAAGGGTCCCCTAAAAACTCTTTGTCGAAAGCTGTATACTTTACCTGATGTTTGCGTCAACTATTTAGCAAAGGACCCAATAGGAATTGTCAAAGCATCTGACGCTTAACGTAATGGTTGGTTGATTTTATTTAGCGGTATATCAACCTTTCTTTTGGTCATTTAATCCTGAAATCTAAATATTTTCAACACAATTTTATGGCTTCAACTAAATATATTTTGGAACACAATAGCATACCTTCAACTACAGATAAAATGTATTGTTGGTAATTTTACTATAAATAAGTATTGTTGGTATTTTTACTATAAAAATGTATTTTTATAAATTCATAGTGTTTAGGTTTTGTTTGGGTGTTCACTGTTTACCCATAGCTCGGACGCTAGCAGTTGCTACCACCCCAGGTCAGGGTGAACTTGGAAACAACAGCAATTAAGTGGTGGTTCCACACTTCTCAAAATCTCCAATCACGTGATCAGAGGCCTTGCTGCTGAATGTAGTTTATCGTCATACCCAGGACTCCTTAGTGTAATAATGCTGTATCTACAACATACTGATTACTGCCAGTGACCAGTTGATAGACGGGGTCTTCAAGCTGCAGGTGAGCGGCAGCAGTAAAGTTGTTATATTATATTGTTAAAGGAGTCACTTTTTATATTGGATAATTCAAAAGCACAGTTGGAAAATAATCTCATACGTTTAGACAGACGTAGTACAATTTTGGCATAAATGGTCATGCATTTACGATAAATTCCGAGCATATAACAAAATATAAGTAAACGAATAGAAAATAGCATTAATCTTATTGGTGAAAAGTCTTTCTGAATTCGCATGATAAACCAAAAGTTCTAAATTATGAACGTTTAATGTATAACTTCAAATATTCGGACTAAATCTGTTTTATCTGTTGTTTCATTATCACTAAATAGAAGGACATCGTCTAAATACATAAATACACAGTCCTCATTCAAATATTTTGTTCATAAAGCGTTAAAATATTTCTGTCGTACTTATTATTTCGAAAGGCATATAATTATAAATAAACAGTTGGAAAGTTGTAGCTATTGCTGTCTTGGGCATTTAATCAGGATGCATTTTTATCTGAAAAGGGGGAACAGAAGTCTAAAAATAAAACTGCTATTGTTAGCAAGTTTAGAGGCAAATGATATTTAGTAAAGGGTACTGATCACTGTTTGTAATTCTAGTCAGAGCAAGGTACTTATCGTAGCATTGTAAAATTTGGAAAAAAAAAAAAGAAGAAATAAAGAATGGCATTGTTTATTCGCTTTTTGAAGGAGGTATAATACGAAAATCTGAACCTCAAAAAATTATGCTCGTGATGTTGGAGATTTTTCTACAGAAATTTGTTTAATTTTGGTAAATGCTGGAATATAATTTCCTGTATCTATCCTATGACAAATTCCACAACATTTCCCAGTTTGTGTACTCGTGGATGACATGGAACTTGGTAATTTTCTTTTATTAATTTACTGAAAAATATCAGTCTACTAACGTCGACAACAATTGGATCTGTCGAAAACGTAGTTACATTGAAATTAATATTCTTTTCTGTAATATTTTCTTGTATAATTTGAAACTGTCTACTGTATACAACTTCTTTCTAAGATCATGGGTTAAAAAAAAATAAGTGAGGCTTATGCATCGTGGTGAAGACCACACTTCTTCGGATCTTGTGGATTGGCGCTACAGGATCATTGACAAAGAATTGTATCAAATAACAAAAACACATCACTTGAGGACTTTCAACAACTGCAACACCTATAATGGATAGCACATATAACTTGAGGGTAAAATAAGGCCATAATGAAAATGTTGACATTCTACACCACTTCAAAAGGAAGGTTAGGAAGGAAAACCCATCAATACTGGAAAGACCGAAAACAGTTACTGGACTTGACAAATCCGTGAAAAAATGTTTTAAGAGAAAGACTTTATAAATATCAACCGAAAGCAGTAGTAACTCCTCGGCCAATGAATGCCGAATGTTTCCTTATAAGGAAACGGCTAAACACGGATATACAGTTAAAA